GTGGGGGGGGGGGGGAGGTGGGCGAAGGGGCGGGACGGGGCTGTCCTTTGCGGTGGAGTGTGCTCGCGAGCTCACCTCAAAGGCACCGGGCCCGAGGATGGCGAGGGTGTCCGGGAGAGACACATACTTGAGGGAGCGGCAGGCGTAAAAGGCGGCGCTGTTGACGGCGATGAGGCCGTGCGCAAAGGTGACGGAGATGAGCGACTTGCAGGTGAAGAAGGCCCTGCTGCCGACGAACTCGACGCTGCTCGGGCAAGTGACGGTGAGGAGCGAGTTGCGATCCATGAAGGCGCCGGCGGGAATAGCCGGCATGCCCATCGGGAGGACGGCGCGGCCCGAGGTGATGGGGATGTAGTGGACGGCCCCCTCGGGCGCGGACCTGTCGCTCGCAATCGGGAGCACCCATGAGCCTTGGTCGACGTTGCGGATGTCGCGCCGAAGCTGGTGAACATGGGGAGGAATGGAGCGCCTCGGGCCGGGAGGCACGGCATGCGGGTAATCCGGCGGCGGCGGCATCACGAATGGCGGCGCCGGCGCGGGCGCGTGCGGCGGCACCGCCGCCGCCACCACGAGCGGCGCCGCGCTCGGACCGGCGCCGTTTGCCTCCATTATGTGTCCAACGACCACCTCTCTCGCGTGCCGAGCAAAATGTTCGCAGCCGCCTTCAGAAAGAATTCTTAGGGTTTAATCCTGGAAGGCGAGCAAAAGCCCACGCCCGAAATCCGGTTCGGCACTCCAGTCCTCCGGCTATTGCGGCACGCTGCGGCCATTGCGGCGGGCGGCTTGCTGCTCGCTGCGATGGCGAAAAACTCGTCTCGTCGCACACCAAGGGCTTATGCTCTGGCGAGACGTGAGGCGCATGCGCCCAGGAGGGGAGGGCGCATGCGTAACGACGCTGCTAGAGATGCCTTTCGGGGCCCAGAGATAAAACTTCTGATGCCATGCGTGACCTAGTAGTGTCCCCAGCTATGGGCGTGTCCACGTTGGAGCCAGGTGTGGTGTGGACGCGAGAATAGCTCCGCCGTTCATGGGAGGCAACCGATGCGAGTCGACTGGTGTGTGTCGTCGTGGTTTCGTATCAAGAATACTCACTCACACACGGCAATCCAGCGCCCGGCCACGTTCGTCGCAGTCGCGCTTGAGCCCGCGCTGCCCTGGTACGCTCGCTCGCTCGAGCCCGCCTCGGCGTGCAGGACGTACTCGAGGCTCTGCCGGCGGTGTTCACCTCCCGCACGATGGCGGCGGTGCCCTCGAGCAGCCCGTGCAACACAGCCTCCCTGGGAACGCATATGCACATGTGCATGTGCATGCAGTGCTCGACCCCCAGCGCTGCCTGTGCTGGGCGCCCAAACACGAGCTCTGAAGGAGGGTTGGCGAAGCGGTTCTCCTCGACGTGAGCCTCGGTGGCGGTGTGGAGCACGCGGAGGGCGTCGAGGCCACCGACCAGCGAGGCGACAGCCTCCACCATCAGGCTGTGTGCATCTCGCTCTGCTCTTGCAGCGACTCGCGCGCATCTGCGGCTCCGCGATGTCCGTCATGTCGCTCTGCGGCGCCGATGGCACGATTGTCGATGCCTGCGACGGCCGATGCGGCGTGCCCGACTCCGCCAGCACGCTGGCTGGCAATGCGGACGCCTGGGTCGCGTCCTCGTCCGCCTCCGCCTCCGCCTCCGCCCCCCCCGCCAGCCTCTCCACCCTCGCCGCCTCCTGCCTCGCCGCCGCCGCCTCCTGCTCCGGCGTGCGTCGCGCCGCCGTGAGCAGCCGCGGGTCCAAGTACTTGCCCCACGCCGGCCTGGCCGACACCATCAAGGAGATCGACTGCTTGATCTCCTCCTTGAGCTCCTCCTGCGTCAGCAGGTCCGACTCCCCATAGCCCTCGAAGGCTGGGATCGGTCCCTGCTGCGGGTGCGGCGCACACACCTGCAGCTCCCCCACCTAGAGAAGGGACAGAGCGTCAAAGGCGTGTGGGTCGAGTACCCCGGGCTCACCGCGCTGCTCACCGCGTTGAAGTAGGCCATCTTCATGCGCAGCACGATCGTGACCGTCACCGAGAAGGTTGCCGAGCTCTACAGCGCTCTACACTCTACATCCTCTACACCCTCCCTCAGCGCAGCTCTGCCCTCCTCGCGGCATATTTTGGCCCCCCGACAGGCCTCGACAGGCCTCGACAGGCCTCGACAGGCCTCGACAGGCCTCGACAGGCCTCGACAGGCCTCGACAGGCCTCGACACACGACACCTCTATCCCTCGACAGCAGCTCGACACCCTCGACACCGGGCCTCGACACCTCGACACCAGGGCTCAGCTGCGTCTGTTCTCCGAATCATCCCGACGGCGACAGCTGTCGGGCAGAGCTCCTCAGAGCGGGTGTAGAAGAGAGTGGTGGAAGGAGTCTCAGAGCGAAGCTGCTATTGGCCGTCAAAGTAGGCGAGGTAGTGTGTGGCAGCCGGCCACCGGCGGGGAGCTGATCGCCATCAGCCAGAGTGAAGATAGCATCGCCGAGTGTGTACTGGTTTCCCGAAGAGAAGATGCCCGTTGCGCCCGCCAGCGCGTGCGGGAGCTCCTGGCTGAGCGTTGAGTCCAGGCGAGTTGCGCTAGCCACTATCGCTACGCCGAGCCGAGCTGACGCGCCGAGGCGCCGGCCAGTCGCAGCCGTGAGGCATGCCATAGCAGCAGAGGCACCTGCCACCCATTGGGCGGGCAGACAGAAGGCCAGGGCAGCACTGGCAAGTGCAACGCGCCTCATGTCGGAGAGCGACCGTGCCTCGTTCGCCGCTTATCATGTAGAGTTGTTGTAGAGATTTCGCGTTGTAGAGCGCCTCTACATCGCTCTACAACGCAGGCGCTTCGTCACGCGCCGGATGTAGAGCTCTACAGCTCTACATTGCTCTACACACTACAGCGCTCCAGAGCGCTCTACATCTCTACAGCTCTACCGCGCTCTACACTCTACATCCTCTACACCCTTCCTCAGCGCAGCTCTGCCCTCCTCGCCGCATATTTTGGCCCCCCGAGTTTATCGAGCTCTCCTCGCGCAAGGACGACTCTGACGCCCACTGCGATCATTTGCCGCCAAAAAAAGAAAAATAAGGGGACAGACACCCCACGGAGTCAATAGTTGCTCAGGTCCACTCTCTAAAAGAAAGAAAGAAAACAGACAACCCTGAGGGAGGGTGTAGAGGATGTAGAGTGTAGAGCGCTGTAGAGCTGTAGAGATGTAGAGCGCTCTGGAGCGCTGTAGAGCGCTGTAGAGCTGTAGAGCTCTACATCCGCCGCGGGACGAACTGCGTGCGTTGTAGAGCGATGTAGAGGCGCTCTACAACGTGAAATCTCTACAACAAACTCTACATCAAAAGCGGCGAACGAGGCACGGTCGCTCTCCGACATGAGGCGCGTTGCACTCGCCAGTGCTGCCCTGGCCTTCTGTCTGCCCGCCCAATGGGTGGGAGGTGCCTCTGCTGCTGTGGCATGCCTCACGGCTGCGACTGGCCGGCGCCTCGGCGCGTCAGCTCGGCTCGGCGTAGCGATCGTGGCCAGCGCAACTCGCCTGGACTCAACGCTCAGCCAGGAGCTCCCGCACGCGCTGGCGCGAGTCATGGCGCATGCAACGCGTCTGAATGCTCGCCTCGCCTTGCGCAAATGCGACCGTCCTCGCCGCCGACAGTCCATCGCCTGCTAAAGAAGCACTGCGACGAATGCGGCACCGGCGACGCATGGCAGGCTGGTGATGACGCAGTTATGGGGTGTTGTGTGCCATCAGAGTGACTCTGTGTGTGTCAGGGATAGTCAGGGCTGTCCATCAGAGCTCCAGTAAGCTCGGAGACACCCCATTAGTGCGACTCGACCTCTTTGAGTCACTGCCTTCCCGGCGGGTTGGCTGTAGAGCCTCTACAACAAACTCTACAACAAAATCGCGCTCTACATCGCTCTACAACGCACGCAGTTCGTCCCGTGCCCGATGTAGAGCTCTACAGCTCTACAGCGCTCCAGAGCGCTCTACATCTCTACAGCTCTACAGCGCTCTACACTCTACATCCTCTACACCCTCCCTCAGAGACAACCCAAGGGAGGGATGGGAGAACGGCACGCCGCCACCACACAGGGATTTTAAGGAGAGGGGTGTGGTGCGCTAGCCGTCGCCCACCCTTGGGCGTCCGCCTCTTCCTATAGGTCCACTTCTTCGTCTTCAATGCGTATTCTTTTTGTTGCTTTCTGTTGTCGGCGTAACTTCTGCACGCTCGCTGTGCTCCTGGGCACCGGCCTGTGCATCGCCCGATGTGTTGCGCCGCCTCTGCCAAGTACGCATCACCCGGCCACCGCGAGGCCTCTCGCTACAGCCTCGGCTGCTCGAGCCTCTGGCTGGCGGTTCCGTGCGTCCACGGCGTGTTTGGCGTCCACGCTGGCGCGCTCGGCCTCGGTGGTGCCCTGCTCCTCGCCGTCACGTGCGCCGCCTGCCTCGTATCGACGCTCACCTGGCGCACGCTGGCGCACACTGGCGACCTCTCCGTCTTCAAGGCGGACAAGGCGGTGGCACGGCTTGAGTTTGTCGCTCTCTGCGTCTTTAGCGTAGCCGCTCCACCGCCCGCAGTGCGCCCTGCTGTCACTGCGTGCGTGCTGCCTATCACTGTTGCCGCTCTGTACCGAGCCGGCATGGCGCTCGACTCGCGCGGGCACGAGACGGCGTCGCACTGGGCACATGCGGCCTTCCGCTTTGTCGGCTTCTGGTGGGCGTTGTTAGCCCTCGCGCACCCATCATGGCCCTCTGCGCCGCGCGTTGCTCTCGGCTCGACTTGCTATTGGGCGCACATGCTGTACTCTGTCCGCTGGCCAACAGCGTACGGCGTGCGCTTCCGCGCGGCCGATTGGTACGATTATGGTTGCTTAGACACCCTCGCTGCAGTGGCCGTGACTTTTAGTCTGGTTGAGTTTGTGTGAGAGACGACACAGTTTACAGGCCACAGCAATTACTACTCTCTTTGAAGGCAAACACAGAATCAGATAGTTGTACGGAGACGTCGCGGAGAGAGACAAACAGAAACAGATTGCAAGAAGCCTGTTCGCCGCTCGTCCCCCGCAGCCACACACAGGCCACAGGACAGCGATCCAATCAGCGCACGTGTGCAGAGTTGCGATGGCAGCGCCCCGCGCCAAACACAGAGAGAGAACTTGGCCTGTCCAAGGGTTTCCGGCAACCCAGAGGGAAACCAGAGGGTCCCCAGCACTGTGCGTTTCCAACCTGGTTTGTGGAGCTCCCACAGATGTTCTGACAGAGACCTGGCCGTTCTGACAGCGTTCTGACAGCGTTCTGACAGTGTTCTG